ACTGTATTAATTCTGTACTTGTCACAAGTACATCATTTTAAAATGAAATTGTATTTTCATATTGGGCAGGAAATAAATTTACATGACGAGAAGAGAAAACTGAAACCATTAAAAAGGAAAATCCAGATCCCACTAGTTTACCTCCCTAGTTTAACTAGATTTGCCTGTAATGTCATTCTGTACCCATGCCATTCCTAAAATAACTTTTTCAAAAACTAAACTTCTAGACTTAGCTCAAGTGGTTCGGTTCAGTTCAGTTCAGTTCAGTCACTCAGTCATGTCTGACTCTTTGTGACCCCATGAACCACAGCACGCCAGGCCTCCCTGTCCATCACCAACTCCTGGAGTTTACCCAAACTCATGTCCATTGAGTCGGTGATGCCATCTAACCATCTCATCCTCTGTCGTCCCCTTCTCCTCCTGCCTTCAATCTTTCCCAACATCAGGGTCTTTGCAATTCTGCTCAAGTGACAAGACTACCATAAAGCCTTTCCATTCGCTGTTGTTGTTTAGTTGCTAAGGCATTAGCATGTTTAGTTGCTTTAGTGATCCCATGGGCTATAGCTCACCAGGCTACCCTATCCATGGGATTTCCCAGGCCAGAATGCTGGAATGTTTTGCCATTTCCTTCTTCAGGGGATCTTCCTGGTCCAGGGATCGAACTTAGATTGGCAAGCAGATTCTTTGCTGCTTAGCCACCAGGGAAGCCCTCTTTACATTTGTAAGAGGGACTAAATCAGAGAGAACAGAACAATCAAGAATTCATTGCAATGGCCCATGAAAGATGATAAGCCCAGTGTGGTCACTAGACATGTGAGGGAAAAGAAGCATTTCAGAGATTTTTCAGAGATTGTGATAGTTGCTAGGGTAAGGGAGATGAAGGGGGAGCGGTGATAAGAATCCCTGACTGGCTCCATGGTAGATTTAAAGCCATATGTACAACAAATAAAAATACAGGGACATGTTTTTATTAGTTCAGGCATCTCAATTCACTGACAAAATTCTCCCCAGGCTGTCTAACCCTATACCATTAGGTTACTATGCTGAGCTTTGCCAATAAGCTCCTCTCTCCAGCCTTGGGTCTGATCTTGACCCTTAACTTCCCATTGGCCCCTAATCAATTATGTTTCCCTTCATGCTCTGATGCCTCCAAGTCTGGTACCATTCCCCTGGTTTTTCTTCTTTAAAAGCACTGAGATACTTCTCTCTAAGATGGGCAGCAAGATCATGAGATGCTTTTAATGATGTGTAGCACCAGCCCCTCTAGGAGCGACTTTCTTTCCATTGTGAATGCCTCTGTAAAAGGCATAGTTTGTAAATTTTTGTTAATGCAAAAAGAGAACATTCGGGCACCTTTTCTGTCCTGCTGATGTGTAGGGCTATTTTTAATTTTTGTTCTTCGCTCTTTTTCTGTGCCTGTGATTTTAAAGGTGCCAGACTGACTGCCCTCCAGCCTGGTGTCCCCGATTTCTCCCAAGAATAGGAAAAGTACAGGAGGCAGCCGTGCTGGTCATGTCTGGGTCTAGCATATTAGCCTGACCCGCTCTGGAAGAATATTCTCCAAAATATAAAGGAGAAGACTGTTCCTTGTGAACACAGTCCATCTGCTTTCATAGCTGCAATGACAAAACCTTGTTGTCCTGCCACCCAGCCACTGCAGAGGTTTTGGATCCAGGAAGCCTAGCCACTCATCCCCTCTTGTGGAAAAACTAGAATGTTTTTTCTCTTCCATCCCTACTTGTCACAATTCCATCCTTTAAGGTTGGACTTAAACGCCTCTTTCTCCACAAAACCTCACCTGAGCCCTCTCAGGTGTAGTGTTCCTTCCACATCTCCAAAGCACTTTTTCAGATGACACCACATTTTGTCATGTGATTGTAGGATGTATATAGTCTCACAATTAATGTGGAAGGCAGTGACGTGGTCCAGTTCCTTTCCAGGTATCATACAGATTTTGTGTTGTGTGCTAAGTCGCTTCAGTCATGTCCAACTCTTTGTGACCCTGTGAACTGTAGCCTGCCAGGTTCCTCTATCCATGGGATTCTCCAGGCAAGACTACTGGAGTGGGTTGTCATTTCCTTCTACAGCATAAAGATCATAGAACTGGACAAAAAGTGAATAGCTAAGGAAGTGAGAATTCCAAACCTTATCTGACCTTCATCCTGACCTTCAGGGCTCTGTTCTGACCTTTCCCGTTAATCAGTGATTGAGATTTTCCCCTAGATCCTCATGGGTAGCTCTCAAACTCTCCATAAACCATGTAAACTCAGGCCTTTGGATTCCAGATTTGACACTTTGGGCAACCATGCTCTGGAATCATAATTGCTACCTCTACCTGCCTCATCGACCACCATGACTAATAGTCAATAACATTTGGCCAGAACAAATTTTTTTCCAAAGTGTGGTCTACAGATCACTGGTAGTCCCTGATGGAGTCTCAAGAAGTCCAGTTTGGTGTCTAGAAAAGGAAAGAGTAGTAAATAATTATTTTGTGGACTTGCATTTAATGAATATAAAATGTAAAAGTATAACATTCACAGGAATCCAATATGCTTTTAATGAATCATCACATTCTTAATGATTACATATGTGCCACGAAACCTGTATGGATTGGCGGTGTTTAACTGATGTTCGCTAACAGTGCCATTCGGCTCACAGTATTTTCATATTATTAGTATTTTTTTTCTGCTGCTGCTAAACCTACATTTTAAAAGGATTATTATTATTTCATTGTACTATTTGTTTACTTTTCCAGACTGGATCAGTTATTTGAGTGATCCTTTTAAAGTGGAAAAAATAGTCGTAAAGATAATACCATAAAGATCAGTTCAGATAAATATTAAAAATGTGTTAGTGAACATGATGCCAGTATAAATACTGGGAATGAATCTATATACACTGGAGTAAATGTGATTACTTTGCACAAGCAGTCGAGAAAAAAATTTTTGAAAGCTGTGATTATGATGTAATTTTTTAAATTATATTTTATGGATTGGTGATCCATTCACCTACAATTTCCAATATGTTCTTTGTAATGAAATATTATCAGATAGTGGCATAAAGTCTCAAGACTTTTAACCTCCTTTTCAAACATAGTATAGTGAACTTTCTAGTAAACCAGTTTGAGTTTTTTTTTCCCCTGAATAATCGCAACAGTTGTGCCATATGGTAGTCCTAGCTTTGTTACTGAAGGGAATGACAGTCTAAAATTTTAAAGTACTTTTCTTAGGTTATACATCTTATAATAAAAACAGATACAAGTTCACACTTGGATATAAATTTGTAAATCAAGCCACACAGTTTATTAAAGTATATCAAATGTCAAAAATATGATATCAAGACTTCAAAAAAATATCAAGTGCTGAAGAGTTTGACATTTTTTTCAGCATTTAATATTTCTTATTCTTTAGGAGGAAAATGTTCTATAGTTGGGTCTATTCTTTAGTGGGGAAATGTTCTATAGTTTGGGCTATACTTTAGAGAGGCATTCAAATTCTGCAGCAAAATATATGAAGAAATACTTCCCAGGACCAACGCAACCAGAAGGAATTAGAAACACCTTTGACTCCTTTCTCCTGAGTTGAAATATTTAACCCCCATCCCTTTTAGGTGTTAAATGGTAGTCATCCAATGTGATGGAGCACTGAAAGCAGCCTTTAGTAAGAGGTTTATCCATAGTGTCAGCTCTGTGTGTGATCCTGAAGCACAGAACTAAGCAGAGGCAAGACTGCAGAATGGTTAGGACCTTCAACACCGAAGTTAGACTGCTTGGGTTAGAAGGTAGTTACCCACTTTTGTAACCCAGTTCCCTCATCTGTAAGATAAGAATAGCAATTGTACTTGCTATATAAGTTGTTGTGAATATTAAATAAGTTAATATATATAAAGCACCTAGAAAAGCACTAGGTTTGCTAAAGTTTATTTGTAAAAGTCTGTCGATTCTTGCTGACATTTCCAGTGAACTTGTAATAACCTGTTAAGACTTTTTGCCTTCATAGAAATAAAGAATAAGAAGGGGAAAATGAATGTGACTGTGGCCTCTGGCTTAAGATTCCCAAAATGAAGCCAGTTATGGATATAGACTGTAGCCAGCACCATGGCTTTCAATGACATAATTTTTTTTTGGAAATTACATTTTAATGTTCTCATTAAAAACTGAATGAAGCTTTTTTTCAAGCTAAATACATGTCTGTATGTGGTCAGGAGCCCCAGGAATCAATGTAATAATGCTGAAAATTTACAGAACACTGGGCTGGACAATGACAATCAAGACCATAAGGGACTCAGAACCCTACAGTCTGTGGAACTGTTGCATGATTAAGGGATATTCAAACTGTAAACAGATTTAGAGGCAACGCTGAGTTGTAATATATTAAAGGGTGTCAAATGTAAGAAATGAGACGTATTTCTTGAGGCCTTAAAAGACAGAACTGGGACTATTGGGTAACAATGAGGAAGCATTCCAGCTCAACATGAGAAAAAACAATCAGTACTGTCTGGAAATAAAAGACACTACTTTTTTTTTTTTCTTGTCTGCCTGTCACTAAGGACTGGACGCAGAGGCTTTGCAACCCAGGCTTTTGTAGAAGGAGCTGAAGTTTGAGTTTGGACCCAGTTTGCTCACAGTCTAACTGGTAGCTCCTCATAGTAGCTCCAAGGAGAAAGAATTCTGTGCTTTCCACTCCCGCCATCCTGAGTCGAGTTCCTCTTATGTTTCTGTGTCAAATCAGAGGCAGAGCACTGGCCTCCACATCAGAAGACCTGAGTTCTACTTGGTCACTTCCCAGGGGACCTTGTCTACCGGAGTCAGCTCTCAGCTGATTGTAAAATCCCCACAGCGCTGGCCTCATGGTGGCTGCCACAGTCACTGTGATCCCGATGATGATTGCAGTGGCGGTGACCCTGTTGCTGCTGTTGACTTGACAAATGTAGTGTGTCCCCAATGCTGTCCTCTTTAGAACTAAAGGTGTTCTTTACTGCCAATCCCTTTTTTCTTTCAGGCCGCTGTGCTCGCTGTGGGGAAAACGTAGTTGGGGAAGGGACAGGATGCACTGCTATGGATCAGGTCTTCCACGTGGATTGTTTTACCTGCATCATCTGTAACAACAAGCTCCGAGGGCAGCCCTTCTACGCGGTGGAGAAGAAAGCCTACTGCGAGCCCTGCTACATCGTAAGTTCAGATTTGGTCCTCGGGTAATTTACTAGAAGGACTTCTATGGCAAAATATCGATCACTCCAGATCAAATGTAGCCTCAGGTCTTTGCTTCTGATTAGATTTCAAACTGTGCTAGTGTATAGACTGGCATATCTTAATTTTTATCCCTATGTCCCTTGTTCATTTGCGGTCAAAAGGTGCATTGGCTGGGGCTACCATTCAGTTAGTGGTCTGCCAGGAAGATCAGCGCCCTGGGGCTTACAAGCATGTATGTACAAGCTAACACGTTCCCCCTTGAAGTATCAGGTTTCCCAAGTAACAGAGTCACACCTCTTATTATTAAGCCTCACTCTATATTTGATGTCATATTTGTAGATAAACATGTTGCAGGGCCTTGGGAATTGTGAGTACTCTTTCAAACTCCTGGGTCGCTTGAATCACCTTCTTTCTACCCAGAATTTCTCTTACTTGTCATTGTTATTTAGCCGCTAAGTTGTATCTGACTCTTTTGGGACCCCATGGACTGAAGCCCCACCAGGCTCCTCCGTCCATGGGGTCTTCCCAGGCAAGAATACTAGAGCGGGTTGCCCTTTCCTCATTTCCTTCTCTAGGGGATCTTCCCGACCCAGGAATCAAACCCATGTCTCCTGCATTAGCAGGTGGATTCTTTAACACTGAGCCACCAGGGAAGCCCTTTACCTGTCACACCCAGCAAATTTTCAATGATGCAATTAGATAAACTAGTGATATTCTAGGGTGGCTTAAAGGAAAATAGTTGTGCTGTTTCCTTTTTTTAAATTCACAATTATATTTTAATAACATAGTTGAGTGACTATAAAATACTTGTTGTCCCATTATCTTAGCTGTTTGCCAGGCTACTTAAATCTACACATTAAGCTGTCTTCTGATAGAGCAGTTTGGTAAATGAACATAAACTTTTTAAATCTAAAGTAAATTTCCTTGCGATCCTTCTACATGATTTTATCTCTCTGTTGAATGCTTATCAGCGGAAAAAGTAGTGCTTTTTTGCAAACCCACACAAGAGGCATGATTTGGCCCTCAGCGCCCACAGCATTTCAACATAAGAGAAACCTCGGGTGCAACGTATTGGAAGATACATAGCTTGGCGGAGCCCTGAGGTTCAAGTTTATTGCAGAAGTTTCTGGCCTCATTGGGATTTTCCCATAATCTGACAGCTCTAACTCATTGCAGCCCTGGAATCTGTAGCACAGATCTGAAATCTTTTTGAGATTAAGATCTTGCAAGATGAAATATTGTTTTGCATCTCTCCAGTTCAATTTTATCTCATTTTCCTCCCCAAAGGCAACTTAGTCACATATAGCATCATTATAGTGCCACACAATGTCGGAGCTGGAAAAAAAACTTAAGATCATTTGTCTAACTCGTCTCTTTAGAAGTGAGACTACAGAGAGGAAGAAAATGACTTCTGTCATTTTATTAGTGTCAGAGCGGAGATTAACTTCAGTGGTTCACACTAATCTCATATTCAGTGCAGACACAATAAGGCTTTAGTTTATTCAGAATATAAATACAAACACAGTGATGTCCCATTGATTTGGAAGGAACAATTACATATCAGAAAAAGTCTAGTGAACAAAAATTTACATCTATAAGAAATAAGAATGTTTAACATATCACTCTTAAAAACCTCTGTTGAAAGAGAAAATCACAAAATCCCCTGTAAATAAGTGGTGTGGATTGTCATTCACAATGATCTAGGACCACAGTGAAATTATTTATTGCAGTGGTCTCTGTGGCAATGTCAGCAGAGCTTCCAGAAGCACGTATGGCTGTTTGTCCATACACTAAGTGACCACAGAATACTGGTTTTTTTTTAGTTCTTTTGTCTGTTTTTCACCCTTTTTTTTAGAGTGCACTGTTGATTCTCATTACTTAGCTGATGCACCCGTGGCTGCCTCCTTCAGTTTTCATCTCTTCCTAGCTAGGAATCACATGGACAATATTGGGAAACAGTATAACACAGTATGAAGAACATGGGTTTGAATCTGGTTACATCACTTAAAACTTTGTCTCCTCTTAGGGAAAGTTACTTGATCTTTTTAAGCCTGTTTTCTCATATATAATGGTGATGATTGCAGGATTTTTTTTCCCAATACTTATGAATGTGAAATGTGGCAATTCTTGTAAAGCACACTTGGCTGGCTCAGCGAACAGTAGTGGGATGAATATTGCTCTGAAATTAATTTTGATAAAATTTCTGGCCTATTTAGCACTTTTGAGAGTGAGCACCTAACATGTGCAGTGAGATGCATCATGCTTGAGAAATCTGACATAACCCTCTCCTATTTTTAAATGCTTTGCCTACTCTCCTGAGTGTGTAGTAAAACTGAAGAAAGTCTAAGCTGGCTAATAAGGGCTTTTACTCCGGTAGACAAAGGTTTCTGTCTCCATTTCAGGCATAGCAGCTCATTGATTCTTGAGGATGTGTTTCCTTCAGCCTTGGTTGCCTGTTACTATAGTATGCTCATGACAGTGAACACTGGGTGATATTTAATCACATCCTTGGAAAAAGTGAATGAATTCAAATAATGGAAATTCTTACCATCCTTTTTGACTTCATTCCCTCTGAAGAAACTTTAATCAGAATTTTTCTTTAATGAGATCTATCCGTGGTGACTCTAAATGTAATTTAATTTTTATCAGAATTCAGTTAAGCTTTACTCAAAGACCCTTGTTCGATATTGATTTCAGAGTTAAGCACAGCACTCAAGCCCTCAGATGGATGTTTTAGCATTTTAATTTCTTCTGAACTTTAATAAGACCAGTAAGCTGCCACACTAAAAAATGTAAAGAGTTCTCTTCAGTGGGATGGTGGGAGGCTGGGAGGATAAAACAAAATGTTTGTTTTGAAGATGGAGTTTGTATGAAGGAGAGCCGTAGGGCTGTGTGTATCTCTCTTGGAGCCAAAGCCCTTAGAACAGGAAGCACCAGCAATGTCATTCATTCAATTGCCTCTTGTTCCATTGGTGGAAAGGAGATGTCTGAAAAACGTCCTGTACAGAACAGAGAAAACCTATCGCTGGGCCTCAGTCTGTGCCTTTTGTTGTTGTTATTGATGGAGTCAGAATAGTGGAGATAGTGGTTTAGTTAGATAATTATTACCGTGTAAGGACCACCCTGTTTGATGTTCTGAGTTCAGGAAAGAGACCAGTCTAAAATAATTTAATTTATTCTTGCCTAAATTAGTTATCAATTATTTACATAATTTAGGTAAACGTGCACCAGTTATGGCTTTATGTTTGATTCAATGGTTATTTATATTTTCCAATGATTTCTTAAATCCTTAATTATTACATGTATATAGCTGTAATTAAACAAGTTTGATTCATTAAGGCACTATAATCCTCTTTACTAATTTTATACATGCTTTCTTTTGTATTTTCTATTGATTGATTTAATATAAATATGCATATAGCTTTCCATTGTAATAATTTCCATTTTTAGCTTTTTGTTTGCAAAGTTTTAAATTATGTTTACATACTACATGTTAAAAACATTTGCCACTAGAAAGACATTGGGTATTTTCCAATCTTTTAGTATTGTATATAACATGCCTATAAATAACTGAGTAAAATGTTTTATGTTATTTTATTTTGAATTATTTTTTAAACCAAAATCCTTTGATTTATGTTACCAAGTTTACAGCAATTTGGAGAACTTTTACTAGATTTCTTTAAGAAGATTTTTTTCCTATTTTCAGAACTGGGAGCAATAATGAGACCAAATGTTAAACTATAACCTTTATCCACTTTTGAAGAGGTTTGTTCACATTTGTTTTGAACCAATTTAATAGGTACATTATGTAATGGTTTTTAATTTGAGTTTTTATAATTAGCAAAATCAGTGAGTTTCTTTTCTACTTTGATGATAGATCTCTTAGTTTTGGTTATTCTTGTGGATTTGTATAAATGAACAGATTAAAATTAAGAGCACTAAGCTTCCTAGGGAAGAAAAGTAGTATAATTAAGTATACATGGTTCTAGTCCTTGCTCTCCTGGTGTGATGTTAGAGACATAATTTAATTTCTGAGTACCAGTATCCTCGCTTATTGAAGGGAAGTAATAACTTCTTCCCTGTCTTCAAAGGGAAGGAGTAAATAAGGGTAATATTTTGTACACCATGAAGAAAGGGTTTACTAATATAAGGGCTTGATCTGATTAATAATATAATATTTGTTGCTTTTTCCCTTAGCTTAATTTGATAGAATTTAGAAATCCTCCAAGTTTTGGATAATTTCATAGCTGCAGTTGCCATGGAAATACTGAAATAAATAGATGTCATAGAAAGAGTGTGAGGACAGATATGAGAAGAAGAAGTTCATGTTTTGCTCAAGAAGATTTTTGTGTTGGCATAGGCAGCAACTGTGTCTCCCACTTATGTGGCCTTCTGCCCTTAATGAGGCAGGTTTACTCCTAAGTACAGATTTATAAAAGAGTTGCTGTGTTCTCAGCATTGCCAGAGTCTGGACCTAGAGACCTAGTGCATCAGAGAGTCTCAGCAAGTCTGTTTATGAAATGGCAGGCAAGGATCTTTCCCTAAACCAGGGCTCTTACTCAGAGTGGATGGAATCCAACCCTTAACTCTCCAGCAGTGGATGTTAGTACAGACATTTTTATTACAGTTACAATCTAAGTGATTAAAAGACCTCAGGAAATCGGAGGCCAACTCCACAGGAGACTAAACACTTGAAGGTTCCTGAATTTGGCACATTAGTGGCCAACACACTTGTAGCCTTTTGCTCTCTCTGTCACTAAATGGCTACGGTCAAAACATTCTAACTTTTCAAGCTACATTAAGAGGCAGGTTTTGTACCTCCACAGGGAAGTTGTCCTTTTATATGCTCAACTCCTCTTAATAAAATGTTTGAAAAGTAGTTATGGCCTGTGCTTTATGTGGGTATTAGTAAAGGACCTGAGAGTTTAGACTAAACTTGAAAAATTCACATGAACTTCCCTTCTTTTTTTCTTGACTAC